GGCAATCCACTCAACTCAGCCTCCCAAAGGCACGGGATTACAGGCTGAGCCACCGAGCCCCGCTAACCCAGCACTATTAACATTTGGGGCTGGACCGTTCTTCGCTGTAGGGGCCGTCGTGTGCATCAGAGGATGGTTAGCAGCACCCCTGGCTTCTTCCTACTAGATGCTACCAGCACCATTTCACTCATGACAATCACAAATGTCTCCAGACATTAGTAAGTGTCCCCAAAGGCAAAATCACCTCCAGCTGAAGACACTGTAACTTATATATGTATGTAAATGAATGAAAGGCTGACTCAGGCTGGGCCTATTGGCTCAAGCCTGTAATCTCAGCACTTTGGGATTGCCTGAGCTCAGGGGTTTGAGACCAGCCTGGGCAACTTGGTGAGACCTCATCTCTACAAAAAAAAAAAAAAAAAGCTGGGCCTGGTAGCGTGTACCTGTAGTTCCAGCTACTTGGAAGGCTGAGGTGGAAGGGTGGAAGGATCGCCTGAGCCCAGCAGATGGAGGCTGCGGTGGCCATGAGGGTGCCACTGCACTCCAGCCTGGGCCACAGAGTGAGACTCCAACTCAAGAAAAAAAAAAAAGAAAAGAAAAGAAAGAAAGAAAGGCTGACTCCATCTAGGTAATGGCATTGCCAGCAATTTTTTTCAAATGTTTTATTATTAGAATTTTCAAATATAAAGATGAAGAAATATGACAGTGAAAATAACCATGTATTCATGCTATTCTATCCTTAACATTATACCATACTTATTCTATCATTATCTGTTCACCTATGCATTCTTTGATCCAGTCATCAATCCATGTTATTTTTGATGCATTTCAAAGTAAACTGCAGAGATCACATTCCCTCAAATACTTTGCATACACATCATTCAACTGAGCTCAACATCTGTTTACGGTTTTAGTGATTTTTAAAAATGTTTCCTTTACTATACTTTTCTGAACTATTGACAATTATAGAATATATATACTTGAAGTACAAGGAGTTAGACAGTGGGTGACTCCCAGAAAGGCAGCAAAGAGCCAGAGACATCTGTGGGGGAATAGGAGTCATGCTCAGAGCAAACAGAAGCCCTTTTCTGTCTCCACTCAACTGACGGGGGCTTTAGGAGGTCACAGGGGTAGGGGACTCAGATGCAGATGAAGGAGCCCATTGCCCACCCACCAGATGCTGACCTCTCCATTCTCCAAGTCCAGGAAAAAAGTAAGTTCGAAGGCTATATTGCAAATCAATATGGAAGAAGCCGGGTACCCATGAGCCCGCTGGAGGATGTGCATGCTGTTCCTTTCAGCTGCTGGCGAAGGAAGCAGAGAAATGGGCTCCAACAGAGGCTTTAGCCTAGAGTGAGGCCTGTGGTTGCCACAGCAGGAGAAGGGGCCCAAAGGCAGGAAGATAATGCTGGATTGCCTGGGGGAGCCCAGTGTAATCACAAGGGTCCTTAAAAAGTGAATCAGTAGAGTGAAATGGCAACCCACAGAATGGGAGAAAATATTTGGAAATTATACATATGATAAGAAGTTAATATCCAGAATATATAAAGAACTCCTACAATTCAACAATAAAAAAACAAACAACTCTACAAAAATGGGCAAAGAACTTAACAGATTTCTCTGAAGATTATATCTGAATAATCAATAAGCACATGAAAAGATATTCAACATCATTAATTATTAGGGAAAAGCAAATCAAAACTACAATGAGATATCATCTCATATCCATTAGGATGACTACTACATATATTAAAAAAAAAAAAAAAACAAACAGAAGGGCAACCCCTTCAGGTTTCCTCCCACTGTGGGAGCTTTTCCATCCTCTCAATAAATCCTGCTTTCTTATTTAAAAAAAGAAACAAAAAGAAAAAAACAGAAAACAGGTGTTGATAAGGATGTGAAGAAATTGGAACCCTTGCACACTGTTGTTGAAATACAAAATGGTGCAGCTACTATGGAAAACAGTACGAAGTTTTCCCAAAAACTAAAAAATGGAGCTTCAATATGATCTAACAATCCCACTTCTGGGTATTTATCCCAAAGAATTAAAGTTAGGATCTCAAGAGCTATCTGAACTCCCATGTTCACAGCAGCATTATTCATAATAGCCAAAAGGAAGAAGCAACCCAAGTGCCCATCAATGGATGACCAATAAGCAAAAGGAGGTAAGTGTGTACAATGGAATACTATTCAGCCTTAAAAGGAAGGGCATTCTAGTCCGAGCACAGTAGGTTAAGCCTGTAATCCCAGCACTTTGGGAGGACGAGGTGAGAGGATTGCCTGAGTCTACAGTTTTGAGACCAGCCTAGGCAACTTGGTGAGACCTCATCTCTACAATAAATCAAAAAATTAGCCGGGCATGGTGGCATGTGCCTGTAGTTCAAGCTACTTGGAAGCTTGAGATGGAAGGATCACCTGAGCCCAACAGGTCGAGGCTGCAGTGGCCGTGAGCATGCCTGCATTCCAGTCTGGCTGACAGAGTGAGACTCCAACTCAAAAAAAAAAAAGGAAGGACATTCTGACACATGCTACAACATGGATGAAACTTGAGGATGTTACACTAAGTGAAATAAGCCAGTCACAAAAAGGCAAATACTGTATGATTCTACTTGCATGAGGTACCTAAAGTTGTCACATCCAGAGACAGATTTTTGTACAAAAAATTTTTGTAGAGCAGAGTGAGCCGGGCTCGGTGGCTCCGCCTGTAATCCCGCACCTTTGGGAGGCTGAGGTGAGTGGATTGCCTGAGCCCACGGGTTCGAGACCCGCCTGGGCAGCGAGACCTCATCTCTACAATAAATCAAAACATCAGCCGGGCGTGGTAGCGCATGCCTGTAATTCCGGCTACTCGGAAGGCTGAGGCGGAAGGATCGCCGGAGCCCAGCAGGTCGAGGCTGCGGTGGCCGGGAGCGGCCACTGCACTCCAGTTTGGGCGACAGAGTGAGACTCCCAACTCAAAAAAAAAGAAAAAGAAAGCAGAGTGGTGTTGCTAGGGCTGGGAGGAGGGGGAATGGGGAGTTACTGTTTGATGAAAAGTTACAGAGTTTGCAAGATCAAAGGAGTTCTGGAGAGGGATGGTGGTGATGGTTGCACAGCAATGCGGATGTACTTACTGCCACTGAACTGCACACTTAAAAATGGCTAAGATGGAAAGTTTGTGTGCATTTTACCACAATTTATTTTTAAGTGTAAAAGGGAGGCTGAAGAGTCAGTGTTACTGACATGATGTAAGAAGGATTTGACCCACTGACTTCGAAGCTGGAAGAATGATCCATGACCCAAGAAATAGAAATAGTCCCTAGAAACTGGAAAAGGCAAGAAAACAAACTCCCCTGAGTCTCCAGAAAAGACCACAGGCCTGCTGACAGCTTGATGGAGCCTATGTCCCAGAAAGTCTTGCTTGCACCACCCGTCTTGTACAATTCTGACCCCTTCACCCTCACCTTTGTCAACATCGTCTTATCACTGAGGTCTCAATTTGAAGGTCGCTTCCTCCAGAAAGCCCCCAGGACTCCACCCCAAACCTCTGACCTACAGAACTGTAAGACAATAAAACTGTGTTGTTTTAAGTCACTATGTTTTGGTAATTTGTTATGGCAACCACAGAAAACTGATACAAAGGCCCCCTAAAAAGAGCTGTGAGTAGGGGG